GTAGCCCTCCGCTGGACTCTCTCCAGTAGCTCCTCACCTTTCTTGAACTGGGGAGCCCAGAACTGGACACGGTACTCCAGATAGGGCAAAACGGAGCTTGGAAGATCAGAGGTGCAGTGGGCTCCGTCCTGCTCCTCGCACCCAGACTTTTCGGGGACCACAGTCCTAACGCAGGCCCTTTGCAAATCCCCTGAAACCTAGGAAGTGCAGATCAAACCTGAACATCTGTCAGGTCTGTAAACGCTCGTACTAACCACCACCTGCATTCAGTCCCAGCCTATATAGAGAGGTCGCCCATTCAAACCTCTTGCACAAAGAATCCTATCGACATGTTCGCACTTGAGGAGATAGGTATCTGGCTTACTCTACTCATTTGTGACAGCTGACTACAACTGAAAAAAAAAAAGAAGAAATCGAAAGGGTGCCAACTGCATGTCCAGTATTACCTTCTCCCTCCAGTTATCTTCATTCCGCATCTTCTGCCTTAAAGTTTCCTGCAGCTGCTCTGTTCTGTTTTGATGAGAAATCAGCATTAACTCCCTAGAAACCAGAAAAACTCACATGTAAATATGTGCTCGGCCCGACTGGTGCTATGCCATTTCCCTGCTATTAAGTCCTTTGTGGCAAAGGCGCGTCACAGAACCACAGAATCACAGAATAGTAGGGGTTGGAAGGGACCTCTGTGGGTCATCTAGTCCAACCCTCCTGCCGAAGCAGGGTCACCTACAGCAAGCTGCACAGGACCTTGTCCAGGCGGGTCTTGAATATCTCCAGAGAAGGAGACTCCACAACCTCCCTGGGCAGCCTGTTCCAGGGCTCCATCACCCTCAGAGGGAAGAAGTTCTTCCTCCTGTTCAGACGGAACTTCCTGTGCCTCAGTTTGTGCCCATTGCCCCTTGTCCTGTCACTGGGCACCACTGAAAAGAGCTTGGCCCCATCCTCCTGACACCCACCCTTCAGATATTTGTATGCATTTCTAAGGTCCCCTCGCAGCATTCTCTTCTTCAGGCTGAACAAGCCCAGTTCTTTTCCTCTTTGTTTGGTGTTCTGTGCAATAAGCCCAGCAATCCTGCCTGGAGCCTGGAGGCACAGCAGTAATCACTACTTTGCATTTGCATAATGCCATCACATGCTTTATGAATTTTATGTTTTAAAGAACATACTATATATGTGTTTCTTTCACACACACATATTTAAACCTCAAATATTTTTTAGTATTTCTCAAGTCAAATTTTGAAGAACACGGAATAACTGTTAAAATATTTAAACCAGAAACTGCTGTATTTAATGAACTCTGAATATTACTATCATTCATCAAAAAATTGTAATAGGTTTTGAATTAATTATTATTACTATTATTAGCGTTGCTGTTTGTTATGTGAGGCTTGTAGAGCAAGAGCCCTAGAGAGTTCAAATTCTTGTAACTTCGATTATTAGCAATGTACCACCTGGAACAACTTGTGTATCTGGGGGTTTAAGTAGAAGGGAAATATTCTTATATTAACATGTAATATCTTTTCATGCAGGTACTAAAGTACAGGGAACACTCAAACCCTTTAAATATGCAAATAGCTTAATGCCTCTTGGTGTACACCGCTCTCTGAAAACGCTTATCTTCTCCAAAAGCCACTTTTCCGAGTACCCTTTCCATTGTACATAGATCAAACAAACACTGTACTGCCATGTCTGAGGTAGGGGACAGCACTTTCTGCTTTGCTAACAGATGACAAGCTAATTTATCAGTAACTGAAAATTTACTAACAAGACACTTTTAAACTGTAAAAATAAATCTGTGGTTGTTAGGAATAAAACTGGATATGCAGATTACACTCAAAGCAATTTAAAAAAAATGTGAATTTAGGCTGACAAGTGCAGAAGCCGAAAACAAAGGCACTCAAATTAGGTACTGTTCCGGGAAAGACAGTCCTGGGAAGCTCAGTGCTTTATTTTCCACATCTGAAAGGTGATTACAGGGAAAGCGGCAGCTTCGTTGATATTTGAGAACCTTCAAAATACGACTAGACTGGTGGGAAGCTGTTCATACACTTCACCCAATACTAGACCATACCCAATAACTTGGCATATTGTAACATTTATGGCATTGTTATGGTTTGCAAGTTGCTAATAACATAAGTTACAAGAATTTAAACTCTCCAGGGCTTTCGCTCTACAAGCCTCACGTAACAAATAGCAGCTACAACAACTGCAATAAATGGGTGTTTTGATTAAGGTGGAGCTGAAACCTAGGACTGCAAAGCAAGGATTTTTTTTCTCCTTTTTTGTTTCCCCCACTCCCAGAGGCTTTTTTCTTTTTTTCTTTTTCATTCAGGTTTCGTCTACACTGTAATAATTTTTAAAAATCCATCCAATGAACTCCAAAATGTCAGGATATGAGCTCAGGGCAGCCAAGGCTTTTTGAGTTTTGCCCTACAAGCAGGAGATGAGCGAGGGCAGTGGCAGGGCAGGACTGTCCTGAGCACACAGGCAGGGCAGCGACTTCAGAACACAGAGCAGGTCTCTCCCAGTCTGCTCAGTGCCACGGCCACACTCCTTGTTCTGCTACCTCTCCTCCCGCAACCCGACCAGCACAGACCAGCCCTGGTGCTTTACCGAAACTATTTGTCCTTTCGGTAACAGCGAGAGCGGCTTCAAATCCGGCAGAGGAGGAGTGTTTTATTTCTAACAGATCTCTAAAAAGACAACCTAGGCTGCGCTTACAGTCACGGGAGATGACCCGCGGTGACTCAGCTCCGCTTACCTTTCTTGTTTCAGCATCGCCACCTCTTCCTCTGTGTGGCTAAGCAGAGCTTTCAGCGCTTCCAGTTCGCTTTCCGATCGACCGGTTCTTCTTTTTAGATCATCTTTCCTTTCTTTCTCAGCCACCTCTTCCTGTAAATGTTTGCATAATTGTTGGCAAATTAGAAGAGATTCCTCCTTTTCCTTGAGCTCTTTCATCAGTCTACAGATGAAATTAAAAAGTATCAGCATCATAGTTACTATATCCTTATTTACAGACATATACTAAATAGACAAATTATTTGTGCCTGGAAAATAAAATAGTAGAGAAAAAGCTGTATATTCCTTATGAAGTTAAATCTAGCGACATGAAGACAAAAACAGAAACCGAAACCAGAAAACAGCTATTGTATAAAAGCTGCATTAAAACCATACAATAAATTCTTTGCTCTCACTGCTCAGAAATCTACATGTTATGACACATAATTTCAGCATTTACCTTGACTCAGAAATTCCATTTTCGTATTTCATTTTTTTCAGTTCATTCTGACAGACATCAAGTTCCGTTGATTTCACCCTAAGAAAATGTTTAAAAAAAAACCAAGTGTATATGACCAAGGAGATGACAGCCTTTACTCATGCTGTGACCTGAACATCAGGTTTATTGACATGTTATCTGCTTGCATTTTCTATTCTAGTTATAGCAGCAGACAACCAGAAGTTCTGCCAGTTCTCGCTAACTTTTTTACGTACTTGGAAGTTACACTTCCAGTGTCATCTCAGCCCAGCCTAGGATCACAACAAGTTTAATGCTGCAAACAAGAAAGTGAGACCTTGCAACACTGATGAAAGCTTCAAGTCAGGTATGAATAAAAATGAGCAAATAACAATTTAGTAGGTAAGAGGGCTGGAAACTTTGCAGGCTTCTTGTCATTATGTCATCATTTCGCCAATTAATAACCATGGTTAAGCTTCATATTTACATTTAAACAGATACAGAATATGTTATTTTATTAAATTGTACCCATATTACACTGAAATTTTAATATTACATTTGGAAACCCTTTACTGTTTGTTTAACCGTGTTCATGAAATTTCTTTCATACTCAATACTTGTATTATCATTAAAATACTTTGTTGCTAAGCATTCCAAATATTTGCCACTTTATTATGATCAGAGCCTCTGAATATAGGCACTGGGACCAGAAAGCACACATCATAAAAGAATGAATCCTTGTTTAAATTTCAGGAAAAGACACAAAGGCCGATGAGAGTTGGTCACCAGATCGCCAGTACTAATTCATTATTCTTCTGCTTAATGTTTGAGACAGTAATGTGTCTTTTCCTTGGTGCATCATAAAGGTTGACGCCGTTTCTGAATGATTTTCTAGGCGACATCCAAGCAATGTGGATGTTCAATGCAGGAAAGCGTTCAGATCCTGGATCCCGCGGCTTTCAGAGGCGACGACCCAGGCCCCACCGAGCACCGCTGTGTCTGGACGCGACGCCGGAGGTCGCCTGGCCCGATTCTGGGTGCCCGTGCCGACACAGCTCCCACGCAAATCGCGGGAGGGCAGCCTCAGGGCACGGGGAATGTGGCAACTCCACCGCACGTCCCTTGCTTGGCCATTAAACATCCACCCAGGAGAACAGCGCGCAATAGCACGACGAGATTTAAGACGAGGTGCATCTTTTTCCTTATTTCCTCAAGTTTTGATAGAGGACTCTGCCCCCTCCACTAACCCACGGGGCTGCAGCAGCGGTGTCCGAAAGCGGGACCACTCCTTTCGGCTGGGCTGCAGACGGAGCAACCCGAGCTGCTCGCTCGGTGTGGGTGCCCTCTTTTCAGTCACCGTGCTTCAGCAAGCTCCAACAAGCACTTCATGACATTCTATTTTTGCTTAGTTTAGGTTTTGCCTATCCTTACCTGAAGCCATAGGCACAACACAGTAAAATTACAAACCGCAACAGCATACTGGTGCACAGGGAAGAGTCACAGCAAAGTTACTTTTGGGGGGGGGCGTGAATAAAAAAATCACATCATAGTCACCGATAAAATACTGAAGCTTCTGATTAGTTTTACTGCACCCTTCCCCCCATCCCAAACATACAATGTGAAGTACAAATTTTCACATACATTTTTCGCCCAGAAGTTATGTCGATTTCACGAAAAGTATCCTACATTGTGCGTTCAATGCAGTCAGACGGAGCTGACCCAACCCTCCTCTTTGCTGTGCCATGAAACACAGCCGGAGGAAGCAAGCCCTGCTTCCAGACAGACACGCTCTGTCAGGTGCTTAGAAATACAGACCGTTTAATATGAAGATAAAGAATTTTCTCTGCTGATCATAGCCTTTTCAAATCATTGGGACCAGCCATCCTCCTGAAAACAACTGTTCTGTTACAGCTCCATGCGCAGCGGCAAGACAATCAAGCAAATGGAAATCTTACGTTAAAAGCTTTTTGTAGTGGTCCATCTCGGCTGTTACTTTCTGCAGCTTCAGTCCAATTGTCTCTACTTGATTTGTTAAATCTGAAAACAACAACATGGGTTTCATATTTTTTTCACAATTCGTTTCTATACGTATTGCTTTATTCGCATCCCAGACGTGCAGCTCCTCGCTCCCCCCTCGCACAGGCCAAGCTGCACATTGCAGCACTGCCCCGGGGAACGCCAAACGGTCATCGGTGAAACGTACCGGCTTCTGACTGGCAATATTTGAACTGATTTCTCAAACCCTACCAGCCAGTTGTTTATATTCCCTTAAGAATAACAAATTATTTTCATTGAAAAGGCTGGAATCCTGTTGCAGTGCTGTACACTTCAGCTCAGAACAGCCTTCCAAATCCTATTTGTACACTAGCAGAGACTGGCTTTATAGCAAGAAGCCAGTTTTTGGTTTTTCAGGGGTTTTTTATCGTACCAGGAGACATCGAATTCAGCTAAATGCAAATACAAAATGCTTTAAATCATATGGTTTGTATATAAGGTTGAGAGCAAAAGCATGCAGGAAGGCAGACCTGGAAATCACCTGCTAATGCTACTTCATATGAACTATTGACACTGACTTAATGGCATTAAGTATTTTTGTTTCAGACTGTCAGTTAAATGTTATCTCTCAGAACACATCACCTATCAGTTGCAATCAGCCATTGCCTTTCTTCCTGTATATCCTGGTTCTTTTCATCAGTACAATCAGTTTAATTACCCCTTTTATTTTGGCCAAGTGGAAAAAAAAACTTCCACAGAAAACGGTGAGCGAAGATAAAAGAACTGTTCAATATCACTCCTTCTGCACAGGCTCACGTGAATGAAAAAGTGACAGATTTCCTCCCAGCAGATAAAGGAACGCTTGGGGTTTGTCCGCTTTCAGCCCTGTGAGTAAGGCAGGTCTCGCCAAACAGGGCTCCGCAGGACAGACGGCCGCCAGCCCGCCCTCGCGGCACAGGCACTGTACACACAGGTTACACCCACATGCTACCCAAACATCCAGGCTGGTGAGAACAGGACAAACGCTCTTGCCGTTTGCAACTAAATCTGCTTCCTTGCTTGCAGGCGCAAACTGATTATAAAGGCTTACTTAAAATCCCTTAGTGACATATATTAGACCATTTTGTCTCAAAGAATATAATATCAAAGAATTCAAACTTTGTAACCTTAAGCAGTTACATATCAAAGAGATCTCATCTAGTTTTGTGTGGCATAATATTACCCTTTTTTTTTTAAATCCTAAGCATAGTCATAACTTCAAGATTTGAAGCCCTACAAACTGACGTAACGGCACATACCTTTAACGGATTCTCATCTTAATGAGCATATCTAAATACGCTCATGGACAAGGGGAGCTGGCTTTCAAGAAAACGTTAAGAATGACCTGAAACCAATGTTCTCTCTACAAAAAAGGCAGCATGATAAACTACACGGAAAAAAGTATGATAGAACAACAAATCTAGAGGTGGAAGAAAAACCAAGATCTTCCCTCAAAACGCAGCAGCCATCTAGCTGAGCTGGCCACCTCTCTGAAGGTGAGGGGCTACAAAGAGAGCCCCTCTGCCTCCAAAGCTCTCTGAAATACCCTCCAAGCAGTCAAACCTAAGTGCGATTCCTGATCCAAAATTTATCATTTGTGACATCAGAACTCACTGAATTTCTGTAACTAGGCCTCCGTGCCCACTGCCGTAATTTCTGGCAACTCTCACAACGATGGATAATCCCAGCGTGGGATTTCCTGCCAGCGATCCCCCACATCACACCTTATCTTGCTAAATCCTCCTACACCAGAGAGCCCCATATCGTCAGTAACAGGAAAAGGAAAGCTGTCCATTATCTCACACTAAAACAAAATCCGGGAGGGAATTACAAAGGGTGAAGTACGCCCTGCGTGTCAGGTACGCTGCCAAACTACCAGCATTCACAGAGAGATTTTTAAAGAGAAAGTTAAAATTTCTTCAGGCTTGACCAAGCCCTTGCAAAAGTCAGAAGTTATAGGAGAAACTTCTATACCACAGACAAGAGACATTTTTGTATAACGTATCGTTGCCACTGTGTTTCTACATTTCAGACAAAAATATTCACGCTGTCCTGCTACATTCCTTTCTGGAATTGTTCAGAGATGTTGCCAGGTCACTGATCTTTTCACCTTGAAACAGCTTCTCCTCTGATTACCATCAGTCAGTGTCTGCGTAATTAAATGAGCAAATAGAAGAGCATCAGTAGATATTCCAGAAAAAAAGCCTTTTAATAAACAAGAATGGATTCACACAAAGCGCTGCTCATTCCAAGCCCTAACTGAAGAAGCGAATGGAGCTGGGGATCCTAGATCCTCCTGGAGTCAATCCGCCCGTTCTCCAGCAGGCAGGAGTTACCGATCGCACTCACTGCTGTGCATGTGGCGAGCTGCTGGCAAACGGCAACTCACATGGAAGCCTTCCTGTCTCGGATCTGGAAATCCAGGAATCACAGAATCACAGAATGTTCGAGGCTGGAAGGGACCTCTGTGGGTCACCCAGCCCAACCCCCTGCCCAAGCAGGGTCACCCACAGCAGGCTGCACAGCACTGCGTCCAGGCGGGGCTGGAATATCTCCAGAGAAGGAGACTCCACAACCTCCCTGGGCAGCCTGTTCCAGGGCTCCGTCACCCTCAGAGGGAAGAAGTTCTTCCTCGGGTTCAGCTGGAGCTTCCTCTGCTTCAGTTTGTGCCCGTTGCCCCTTGTCCTATCGCT